CTGGGACTGAGGAAGGACACTGCCAACCTGGCCCCAGAATCCAAGTCTGGCCAGTGTCCCGGTGGGCGGCCTCAGTGAATGGCATTACTTGTCAGAGCCTCGGCTTCCTCACCTGTCAAATTGTGAGAAAAGGTGGCTATCCAATGGGACTATTGTGAAATATCACACAGATAGCCAAATATGGGTCTGGCACATAATAGATGATCAACAAATGTTACTTTCTTTCCACCCTTCTCCTTCACCCCAAGCCAAACCCCAACCTCAGGCCTCTGGCTACCTCTGTGCAGACATGGCTTCTTGGGGAAGCCATGCTGCCTGGGCTGGGGGTCATCCCCACCCTGCCTCGCAGAGCCTCTTGGGATCTCGGTTGGGTTGTTCTCCTTAAGAGCAGGTGAGCACACTTTCCAAAGCACTGCATGGAAGCACTAAATAAAGGTCACGTGGTTGTTGGCCACTGTCTGGAGCTTTCTTTCATTCGTTCATTTATTCATTTGACAAATATTTACTGAGTGACTACCTACTACTTGTAACGAAGTGTTTGCCTTCAAGGAAATTACATTCCAGAGGGGCAATGGAAGTGGTAAGTGAGGTAGAAGAACAGACAATAAACAAGTAAGTCTAAAATATAAGGAAAGTTATGGAGAAAACTAAAGTAGGGGACGTTTCTCTCTGCACCTCCCAACAGTGACTGTAATTTCATCCATTATAATAATTATAATACTCACTGTTGTTTATTTAAGCATTGGGGATATGACAGGTGATACCTACTTCTCTCTACAGGGTGGCTGATATTAACAGATATGGAAATAGAGGCTCAGAGAGGTTCAGTGACTTGCTCTGTCTGGCAGGGTTCAAATTGGAATTTAGGTCTGCTATTCATTTATCCCTCACACATCATGGTGGGAGTTGTAAACAGTGGATCAAGACAGACATGGTCCTTGTCCCCTTGTATATCCATTTGGATGGGCAGACAGACCTTGGGCCAGCCCCATACACCATGAGGCTGTCTTGTTCTTCAAGGTTTCATGGAGCATGATGTGGCGAAATGGGACACAGTGGTAATAATAACAATGGCTGGTGTTTACTGAACACTTACTACATGTCCAGTGCTGTGCTCAGCACCTTTCCCTCATTCTGTTTAGATGCTGTTATTCCCATTTCACAGAGTAAACAGGGGCTTAAATCAGTTAACAGGCCTGACATTAGTTACACAATCAGCCTGATGCCCAGGGCAGTTTCCCCAGTGGTCAGTGTTGGAGGAGAAGGGAGATGGGACTGGGTGGTGTTAGCCTAATGTTGGTGGGCAAGGCCAATGTCAAGATATCAAGGGATCAACAGTGACCCTTTAGCATCTGGAAGTATTAGACTTTACCAGCCAGTACCTGGGTCCCTGGGACCTCTGAAGCCAAGAATGACTGCACCTCAACATTTCTCAGACTCTAGGCCACCGCCTTCACTCCTCAGCAGGTGCTGAGGTGAGGGAGCTAGGTGGCCCCTGATAAGACTTCACTCTGGTCTGGAGGCCCACCTTAAGCTCAGGGGAGTTAAATGTGTTGTGGTGCAGCTGCCCTTCACCCATTTGGAATCTGATGAGAATCTTGCATGGGTAGCGAGCCATTATCATTATGTTTAACTAGTGTCTGTTGTCATCATTTGCAAAGTCATGGGGCTCAGAGAGACCCCAGGGATTGGTAATCACTTGGTGGTAGAGCTCCTGCACACAAAATCACCAGGAAGGAGGTTGGGCTGGCAGCCCCTATGCTGCCCCTGGCCCCACCTCCCATAAGGAGCCTGGGAGAAAGGCAAGTCTCAGATGACAGGCCAGGCCCCACCCCTTCCAATTTACATACTCCACTCAAGGTCTGATTAAGGGGACCCAGTCTCCTTTCTTGGAGTCATTTAATTTCTGGGGACAGTTCTTGGTCTGTGTGGAGTGTCCAGAGGCAGAGTCCGCAGCTCAGCTCTGCAGCCTACCAGGTGAGCGGCCTGAGCAAACCAGACCTTTCTCTTGTCCTCAGTTTCTCCAATTGTAAAGGAAGATAAATGAAGACTTCTACTGCTTACCGCACAGCTCTCTTATAAAGAACTGTTACTACTGCCATAGATAGAAATTGCAATAAATTTAATAGTTGGGGCCGTTTTCTCATGCCAGTCTCTGTGCTAAATGCTTTACCTTTGTTAATTTTGTTCTAGTCCTAAATGAGTGGGTAGTTAGCATCCCTATTTTATAGTAGAGAAACTGGAGCACAGAGAAGTTGATGATCCAGCCAAGGTCACACAGGAGTGATAGAACAGGGACTCCCCAGCACCTATCCTGCTCTCTCTATACTTTTCATCTGATATTCTTTTTCTTGATGTCGGCGAGGGTCTAATCTGACTGTAGGCTGTCCCCTTCAGTGTAGTCTTACCTGTCCGTTGACATCTGGAGCAGTTAGAGCTGCTGCTCAGGGGCTTTATCTTTGGGACCAGTCTTCCCGCTTGGCTTGGATGCCCTTGGAACATGCAGAGGAGTAAATTAAAAACATGCAGAGGTAGAAATGAGGTTGCAAATCCCAGGAGATTCTGGTTGTCCACTCTTCCACCTCCTGCTCTGGCCAACTCAGACCCACCTGCTTGCTGCCCAGCTTTGGGGGAAGATTTTTCCAATCTGCCCTCTACCTGGGAGTCTGTCTATTAAATGCTCTTGTCCAATGTCCTGCTTGAGTGGAACTTGAGGCCTGATCTCCTGTCCTCATGACCTTAAATTTCAAAGCTCCCTCTTTCCCAAAGCCCAGCAGCAGGAGATGGTCACTCTGTTCCTACCTGCCCTTCTGGTGGTCAGTTCTGTCTTCAACACATGGCCCCAGCAGGCTCCCTTGCCTTCCAGTGAGCCCAGCGGAGCATTGCTAGTTCTTATGCACCATTTATTAATTTCACAAAACAAAAGCATTGTCAGGTATCCAGCCTGCCAAATTGTCAGACCTGTGTGCATGTCCACCCCGTCGATGTGGCTTTGTCGCAGGCCCTCTGTCAGGAATTTATTACACACATGAGGTGTGTAATACCAATGTGAGAATATGTGCAGAGTCAGGGACCCAGTAGGTGTGTGATGGAGCTGGAATTTGAGCCCCTGTTTTAACAGGGTGCTGTGGATGGGCTGGCCTGGAATGTCAGAGTAAAGTGGCTTGGGCTACAGGAAGCCACTCAGTGGTGATTGGGTGGGGGCAGGGGAGTACAGGTTGTCTGTGTCTTAGCAGCCCGGGTTAGGGTGGCCATGGGTGGGTGGGAAAAGGGTGTGTCTGAGTGTGGGTCCCAGTGACCTGGGACTTAAAGCAACTTGGAGGCTGCCTTATCCACCTCCCGCACTGCTTAAGCCACTTCATCCCAACATCCTGAAGCACTTCTCCCCACTCGATCATGCCTGCTCAGCACTACTTCATCTCCTGCTCCAGCTTTGGGGGCCTTTCCCAACAGGCTGCTCTCCCTGAAACCCACACCACCCTGGCTCTGAGTGCGAACTTGCTGAATGCTCACTCGGAGTTCACGCTGCACACAGGGCTTCCTACAGAGTGCCTTGGTCCACCTTCATCCTGTGCAGTAGACACCGCTTGCGAACCTGTTTGAGGCCCAGAGAGGCAAAGAGTGTGGGTGGCAGCATTCCTGCACACTGGCTACTCAGGACCCTTCTACCCCCACTAAGAGCCCAGCACCACTGGGCAGAGCCATCTTCAAATAGCTGGGAAGACTTGTGGAAAGTGACTTCTCAGCAGCTCCCCAGACCCCCTACTGAACCTTCCTGTTTACGTACCTGCTCTTTTCCACCCTGACTGTGGGCAGTCCTCACTCCTCTTCCCCAGCCCCTGCCTTCTAGGAGACCAAGGCCTGAGGATGCAGATGTCCAGGGTCCAGGTCCCAGCCTTCCCTGGAGATGCTCACAGTCTGGCCAAGAGGAGTGGGTGAGGGGTGAGCCTGCGACTGGCAAGTGACACACAGCAGTAGTAACAGGGGCTCACAGAGAACAAGGGCTGTGTGTCAGGCACCTGCGAGGAGTCAGACGCAGAGCTGAGAGTGCTAAAAATTTTTTTAACTTCTAGTTCTTATTTTTGAACACTTAACAAGACAACATTCAAACAAATTTTAAAAGTTAGGATGGATTAATTTACAGTAAAATAATCAACTTAAAATATCAGCCCTTTCATTTAGGGCCAAGGAGGCCAATAGTTCCCATTTAAACAGATTTACAAAATTTATATTTTAACCTATATTTGATGGCATCGAAATATAAAAAGTATACAACTTCCATCGAGACCTTCCCTTCCCTTCAGAGTATAATTCATACAATTGCTCCTTTGTTCAGTTCTCAAACTTTTAAAAAATCACCAGTTCTATTTTGAAATATATCTACAACTCCACTGATAACAAGAACACTCTTAAAACAATTCTTATAGGACAAACTCTTACTGTTTTCTGTCATTGCCATGAGAAAAGTACTGTTGCAGAGTTTCCCTTTTACCTCTGAGTACATGGGACTCAAGGAGGGCTCAGCACTGGCTGAAAGTCACAGGACCAGAAATGGATGCTCCTGAGATGTAAGCCCAGGCTCAGGCTCCGGAGTCTGTGAGCAATGCAGGTGTTGAAGAAATGCTGTTTTGAGGGTTGTTGCTAGATGCTGTGAGAGCTGTTCACGTGCACAGTTTACACCCTAATTTGAGTGTTGTGGGGAGTGGGCGGTCATTCACAGGGTTGTCCCATCCTCTGGCCTTGGGAGCCTGGGCCAGCAGCCCACACGTCTCTCTCCTCCCCTGCCAGTCAGCTACCTAAGGGCAGGCAGCGATTGGGGCTTGAGTGGGCGTGTGCATGACTGGTGCTCAGGCTTGGTCATCATGCCAGGATGGACCTCTCGGAGATAAGGAATGGGTGCTCAGTGGATCTTTGTGGAGCTCAGCCTCCCTTCTTATCCAGGCTGGTCTCCTCCCCGGATATCCTGGACCTGACCCCAGGCTTTCACCCTCTCCTCACAGGGAGCCGGGAGGCCGCCTTCACCTACGCCATCATCGCTGCCGGCGTGGCCCATGCCATCACAGCTGCCTGCACCCAGGGCAACCTAAGTGACTGTGGCTGCGACAAGGAGAAGCAAGGCCAGTACCACCGGGATGAGGGCTGGAAGTGGGGTGGCTGCTCGGCTGACATCCGCTACGGCATCGGCTTTGCCAAGGTCTTCGTGGATGCCCGGGAGATCAAGCAGAACGCCAGGACGCTCATGAACCTGCACAACAATGAGGCGGGCCGGAAGGTAGGGCGGGAGACCTGGGACAGCCTGCTCTCAGGCGGCAGGGCTCCCGGAAAGGCCACAGAGCTCCTTCCCTAGCTGGCTCTGCCCTCCCCAGCTGCTGATAGGGCTCAGGGTGTGGCATGAAGCTTGTCAGTTACTAGAGAGGTTGAATAACTGAATCTAGGTGAAAACAAATTTGATGTAACAGTGAGATGGAAAGAGGGGGGCTTGTGAACTCTTATCCTTGGGTCCACAAAATCAGCTGTGCAAACTCTGGTTGAGGGAGAGGTTAAGATGGGTTGAGCAGGAGTCATCCCTTAACAGCAGGGCCGCTAGCATGTCATTGATCACCACAGCTGGAATCTGGCACTCAAAATAAAGGCACCTTTTTGAGTGCCTCCTCAGATGCTCCTGGATTCTGAGCTCAGCTTGGAAGAGAGCTAGGAATGTTCCAGGATATTTCTAGTGGAGGTGGCTGGGACAGAAAGGGGCTGGACACCCATCCCATGAAAAGCTGGCTGTCCTAAGGCAAGGAAGCAGAAGGGCCCAGAGTGCAGAGTGAGGGCCCACGGGGTGACGGGATCACGGAGAAGTAGGTCCTGCTGTGAGGAGCCAAGCCAAAGCCATGAGATATGGAGTGAGTTACCAAGAAAGGAGTGAGCTCTTTATCCCAGGAAGTATTTGGGCAGAGGCAGCTCAAGGTACCCAAGTCAGTGCTCCTGGCTCAGGCTGTGCCCTGGGCTGCAGCCTAAGGCTGGGAGTATGCTCTTACGTGCCTTTGAAAGCTGAGGTGCTCAGAACCCTTCCTGGAACCCCTAGGCCCAGGAGATGCTGGGAGAGGAAAAGCTCAGATGTCGGGTGGATCTCTGTGGTGAAGTGTCTGTGAGCCAGGGCAGATGGAGAGGAGGGCTTAGGGCTACCTGGGTGGGAACAGACCCCTGCAGTGATAAGATTTGTGCTGACACCACCTGGGGCCACAAATGCTGGTACCCAGGGTGGCTGGGCAGGAGCAAGAGTGACAAAGACCTAAAAAACCATACACAAGGCTATATTGGACCCAGGAATGCAGACCCCATCCACAGGCCACCACTGTGGTTGTACAGGAAGGCCAGCCCACTGGAGCCAGACCCTGAGTTTAGACTCAGATTTTTATGTACCATCACTTCATTTTTAAGTGTTGGCATTTCAAATTGATTGTCAACAGTAGAAAAGGTAAAAAAGAAAGAGGATTACCAGAGGCTCAAGTATTTAACTGGCTAAGTGTGGGCTATGAACACCCCATTTGGGTGACAGATGTATTAAGTGGCACATATCTTGCTCTGCTGGAGCACGTCTGTGGGCCAGGCAGTCTTATAGCTCTGGATGTATCAGCTCGCCTAATTCTCAAGACATCTCTAAGAACAGTAGCATCATTATCCCCATTTTACAAGTGAAGAAATTGAGGCTCAGAGTGGGTAAGTAATGGGCTGAGGGTCCCATCTCTACTAATAAAAGGGTAATATACTAATTAGGACATCTTCCAGACGTCCTCTGGACATCCATCTGGACAAAGCCACAGTGGCTGCGAGGGCCTTGGGCTGGGGGCATGGGCAGGGCCCACGCGGGAGAGGCGGGCCTGTGCTGTGGGCTGGTCCAGTGCCGTGGCCCCTTTTGCAGAGGCCTGGGGCTCAGGCAGCTATGAGCCCCAGCAGCTGTGAGGCCCAGGGCTCAGGCCTCGCAGCTGTGGAGGCCGGTAGTGACAGCAGCAGCAGGGTGATGGGGGCAATGCCTTTCCTTGTTCGGCCAGTTGCCTCCCACAGAGGGAGGCCAGACTGCCACTTAGGTCCAAGGGGAGCGGGCCTAAGCCATCAGTAGGACATCCCCTGAGGGCTCCCAGACTGTGAGAGAGGGCAGGCCTGGCTGGGGGGCCCCCCCCCCCCAGTGCATGAATTTTCGTGCACTGGGCCTCTAGTAGTTAATAAGCAGTGCCAGAATTCTGTCTCTAAGCTGACATTCTTTTTTTAAAAATATATTTTTATTGATTTCGGATAAGAAGGGAGAGGGAGAGAGAGATAGAAACATCAATGATAAGAGAGAATCACTGATCGACTGCCTCTTGCACACCCCACACAGGGGATTGAGCCTGCAACCCAGGCTTGTGCCCTTGACTGGAATCAAAACTGGGACCCTTCAGTCCATAGGCCAATGCTCTATCCACTGAGCCAAACCAACTAGGGCAAAAGCTGACATTCTTTATACAGCATACACTGCTGTGGCATGGTGGTCAGAAGGCTGCCTGTAGGCTGGCACTGGGCTGCCTGGTTTAGATTCCAGCTTTATTATTCCTTCCCAGGAAGGAAGTAGAGCTGGCAGGAGTGTCCTCAGGGCTGAGGTGAGGAGGGAAGGAGACAAGGCAGGAGACCACTTACCCCGGGGCCTGGTACAGAGTTTGTCCTCAGCACAGGGCGGCTGTGATTACAAGTTGTGCAAACGCGTAACACAGGAGGGAGTCTGTCTGGCAAGTGTTGGGGGTAAGGGGGGTAGCCTGCACACCTTAGAGAGGAGCAAGGTTCCCCTCTTGCGGATGAATGGGAGAGGACAAGCTGGCCCTTCCTCCAGCCTTCAGGTACCCTTCCCTCCCTCCTCTTCTCGAGCCTCTGGCCACATCCTGTGTGTAAGAGCCTCCCAGGAGTCTGGGTGAGTCACACCTGCAGAAACTCACCTGACACGATGCTGTCCTGGGTTAATTGGAAGGCCCTGCCTGGCTGGCAGCTCCTGTGCAGCCAGCACATCTCTCCAGGCTTTTCAGCTATTCATTTCTTCTAGTTTCTGTGGTCAGATCACTCTTTAGGGCACAGGGCACAGGGCACAGGGTGTAGGCTTCCTCCTGCCCTTGAAACACTCCCTGGAGGCAGAAAAAGGGAGTGCTTCAAGAGTCTTCCCTCTTCCAGCCTCCGTTTCCTTATCCGTGGCTACCTGGTTGGGCCACTGTGAGAATTAAAGAAGAGAATTCTTAGCTTGGGATAAGAAAGGTTCAGTATATCCAGTGGGAAAAGCTTTTACAAGCCACAGAGTTCCACAGCGTGAGGGCTGCGGCTGCTGTTTCAGGCAACTCTTGGGTGGTGCAGCTGCTGGAATCTGTCAGACATCATAAGATCAACCTCAGTGGCTTCCTGGAGGAGACAAGTGAGGTTTGGCTTGGCAGGGAAGAGAGGTGAAGGTAACACAGGTTTGGTGTGGGGAGGCAGTGGTCAAAGGTCCAGAGGTGAGGGCTTGGGGCAAGTTCAGGGGTCCAGACTGGCTGGTCTGTGAGTCACAGCATCTGGAGAGCCTGCATGGTCACCTGCCAGGCCAGGGAGTGAGAGCCTTGATTTGTCCCCTCAGATCTTTCTGTGGTTGCTGTCAGGTTTCAGCTCAGATGTCCCCCTTTAGGCAAGCTTCCTTTCCAATTCCTTCCTAGCCTTTTCTCAGATGTCATCTTGTTCCTTTCTCTCCCACCCCACTCCATACCAGATCATGAGCTTGAAGTGTCTCATTCACAGCTGCAACCCCAAGGCTGGCATCAACAAGCCACTCTCTGTGTAGAGTGAAGAGTTCAGTACCTATGGTCACTGGTGAACCACTGATGGTTCTGGAGCAGGGAAGGGGCAGAACTCATAGACACTGACTCCAGGAAGGCAGAGTGAGGCCCTGGGCGGGATCAAGAATGGGGTGCAGAATGAGTGCAGACTGGGCTCTCCCAGAATGATGAGGAAAATAATATGGGGTGGGAGGGGGAAGAGGTGCTAGCAGCCTGACTCTGTATCTCTAATGCACATTCCTGTTAGCCTATAGTCTAGTCACTGCCCCTTCCTTAATTATCTGGTCTTGCAAGACCTGTTTACCTAAATACTCCCATTTCACAGAGGCCATAAACCATGAAACATACACAACCCCTGGAGAGGGTTATCAGCACTGGTGCCAGGCCAGGCCAGGCCTTTAGGTATGGTTTCACGTCCACCATCCCAACACATGGGGCTTTTTGCAAAGCCCGCAAAAGGTCCAGAAGTCTGATCCATATTTGGGGGACAAAGAAACCAAAGGGTATAAAGAGAAAGCTTCCTCCATATTGGCTTGCTCAGGATTTGGAAATAGGCTCCCCTGAGTCATGGTACTAGTACATCGGGAAATAAATGGTTTTTTCCTGTATCTCTGGGTACTCCTGTGTATTTTTCGGTCGCCTGGTAAATTCTGTAACAAGCTCAGGGAAACCAGCAGAAGGGCTCTCCCCATGTCGGCCCAGCTCCACTCTGACTTGTGAGGACTCTTGTGGGTGGCTCCCCGGGATAGCAGTTCAACCTGGCGCTCTGTATTTTCCAGAGCCAAGAAGTGGGATTTGGTACTCCCCAGTGTACATAGGGAAAGGCCTGACCATCCACAGGTCTGGCCCTTTGTGGTGTGGGAGTGCAGACCCAGGGCAGTATCCATACTGCTCAGCCAGATCCCAGCAGGCTGGTGGTTTCTTAGCCCAGCCCTCTCTGCTACAGGGCACCTGAGCACCCACACACATATCCAAGTGGTCAGGAGCAAGGACAGCCACCTAGCCTAAGGCTTGGTTTATATCAGTTCTGAGTCCCATCCCTACTTGGAGATACAGTTTCCCCATTTGTCAAATGGGACTATGACATTGATTTATTCTGGATCCCAGGTGCTGGTCAGGGCCAGGTGAGGGTACACAGGGGAGGTGCCCCAGGAACCTGCTGTGTGCCATTTATTAGAAGGCATGGGGCCCCACCCCAGAACCTCCCCCACAGTAGGCTTCTGTGGGTCACACACACAGAGGAGAAAAGAGGCAGCCCGCAGCCACTCCTGGCTGAGTGTCTTGGAAAGGCTCACAGATGTGTTTATCACTGGCTCCCTCACTCCTGCTGTCAGCAGACAAGACTCAACCTGACCACAGGCTCTGGTGCTTGTTGGCAGCTGTTTGAGAAAAGGAGGAGGCAGGGAAAGTTAGGGAGGGGGTGCGTGTATCGAGGGGCAGAAGTGGTGGCAGATCCAATGAG